TCTCTCTTCTCTCTCTCTTCTCTCTCTCTCTCTCTCTCTCTCTCTCTCTCTCTCCTCTCTCTCTTCTCTCTCTCTCTTCTCTCTCTCTTCTCTCTCTCTCTCTCTCTCTCTCTCTCTCCTCTCTCTCTTCTCTCTCTCTCTCTCTCTCTCTCTCTCTCTCTCTCTTCTCTCTCTCCTCTCTCTCTCTCTCTCTCTCTCTCCTCTCTCTCTCTCTCTCTCTCTCTCTCTCTCTCTCTCTCTCTCTCTCTCTCTCTCCTCTCTCTCTCTCTCTCTCTCTCTCTCTCTCTCTCCTCTCTCTCTCTCTCTCTCTCTCTCTCTCTCTTCTATCTCTCTCTCTCTCTCGGCGTGGACAGATCACAATCATCCTCCAGGCAGCATGTTTGTCAGCCTGTTTGTGTATGCATACTCCGAAGTCAAAAACTTTCCCAGCAGTCCAACGTCCTTCTCACGGGAAAAAGTCGTACATCCTCTGCAAACGTGGTGGTGAAGCAGTGGTACGTCCTCCGCAATCCTGGTGGTGAAGCAGTGGTATGTCCTCCGCAAACCCGACGGCGAAGCAGTGGTACGTTCTCCTGCGAACCTGGTGGTGAAGCAGTGGCAGGCCCTCCGCAATCCCGGCAGTGAAGCACTGGTACGTCCCCCGCAAACCCGGTGGTGAAGCAGTGGTGCGTCTCCCGCAAACCCGGCAGTGAAGCAGTGGTACGTCCCCCGCAAACCCGATGGTGAAGCAGAGGTGCGTCTTCCGCAAACCCAGCAGCGCTGATCGTTTTATTCTTTACTGTTGTTAAGTCCAGCAGTTGGTTCACTAATCACCCGTCGACGGCCATGACAGCCCAGCGCATTCGTCCGGCTGTCCGCTCGCTTGGTGCGCGCGCTCAGCGGCGGTCGCCGGCCGTGCCGGAACGTGTGCTCGAGTGACGAGTGACGCCGCTCAGGCGGAACCGGCGGAACCGCCGCCAGGTGGCCACTTCCGCCCCCACGCTCCCCTCCCCGCCGCCGGTCACGTGACTTAAAGGGCTGAACGGTGCCCGCTCTCCGCCGCCCGCGCCGGCCGGGCCGACGAGGGCGGACCCGGCCAAACCGGAACAAATGGGTCAGGCGACCGGCGCTCGGGCAGCCATTGTGGCGCTGTCGGGAGCGGGGCGGCGCCGCGCGAGCAGGCGCGCCGCCGGCACCGGCGTCTCGCCCGGGGAGGCGGCGCCATTCGTCTTCGGGCCGTCAGCGGCCGGCCGAAACGCGCAGCAGCTGCTCTCTCCATTACAAACAGCTGTGGGCAGCACGGAGCCGAGCAGGCGGCCCAGACGCCGCTGGTGACGCATCGGCGAACCGGACGGGGGGATGGGCGGGCTCCGATAGCCTTCAACCTGCAGCTAACTCCACAAGGCCAGGCTGCTGTGTCAACCGGGGGTCCGCCTTTAGCCGAAGGTGGGGAGGAGCGACACGGCGGTCGTTTGCTGAGGTGTTTACTTCCGTGCAATGCCATAAGCGTAGCGTTTGATTCCGTCGAAGGTCGGGGAGTTTATGCCCCCGTAACGAGTCCATGATGTCGATGGCAGCCCCTCTGCTGCCGTGGTACGGTCATACTCTGTGTTTGCGCGCTCGTGAGCGTGTGTGCCGACCCTAGTGGCGTAACAATTACGCCTCTGCAGGGCTTAAAACGGCGCTCTGGCAAGGCTGACCCGCTCGTCCAACCATGAACAATCCATGACCGTATTTGCTGACGCAGTGGATTCCTGCATTCTGCTAATGAAATGCGGTCGAAAAGCTACCTTTGCCGCATGTGGAGCTCGCCTGCCTCTCATTTCATAGGTGTAGGGACAGGTTGTTGTAGGCACATAGGGGGGAGGGGGGCGTGGCCCCCACGCTGTTCGTGTAAGTTTAACAGTAGTCCTGTGGTGAGCGACCAATGAATAAACAGGATGTACTTTAAGGTGAGGCTGGCCCTCCCATTTTTGGGACGTATCAAGCACTGTCTCTCACCGCACCAGGCCCGCGCAGCCAGGTTCATTCGAGCCGGACCGACAGAGTCATTCGGGCGGAACGGCTCTCACGGGGACCGCTCGGGCTCTCACGGGGACCGCTCGGGCTCCTCCGCTAGCTCGCGCCGCTCGGCGTTAAAATGGCCGCCCACGACGGCGTGCGGTGACGGCCAGCCGGTGGGCTCTGCCCGCCGATGGACGACACGGCGCAGGGCTGAGGTCAGTCCGCGGCCTGTCGAGGTCGACATCACCCCATCGGAGATCAGGGGCATGACGGGCGGGCGTCGGTGACGATGGGGTGCTGCGCATGCGGGCGGGCGTCGGTGTCGATGGGGTGCTGCGCGTGATGGACGGGCGTCGATGACGATGGGGTGCTGCGCATGACGGGCGGGCGTCGGTGTCGATGGGGTGCTACGCATGTGATGTGGCGTAATATATACGAGCGAGGAGCGACGCTAATGTCAGATATTTACACTGGAATCACGCAGGCCATGACTAGCGCTCACTTGTTTTCCTGTAGCCTAAGCGTTTTGAGGGCGTTAATTTCGCACACGAAGCCTGGATTAGAATTTCATAACATACTGTCCTCTGGAACAAACTAGTAATGATGTCACCAGCCAGAAGGAAACATCGACCACAGCACACAGGTAGATATTCGGAGAGAGGCTCCATCATGAGCTGTTCTTGGATCCAATAAGAATACGCCCTTCAGCATCCATCACTGAGAGATGGGCACAAGTGCGTACATGCGTGCGCTTGCACAAATACATTTACATCGGCCACGAAATAAACACCTGCATGCGACGACATCGGAATGCCGGCGTTTTCACGGCGTTCGTCAGCCGTCTCCAAACGAGCTTTTCTGTATGTAAGAGGCCGGGCACGAGCGACCCATGTACCGCTGTCTCCACCAGTCACGGCCGCGGCTCCGCGGAGAGAGCGCGAGACGGTGGCAGCCATGTAAGCGCGACACCGACTACAGATTATGAGTCTGTCTAGCTCTTCAAATGGACCGGGCCGGTCGGCAGGCGGGTCTTGTCCACGAACCATCTGCCGAAGCGCTGGCCTCGGAGACCAGTGTGTTAAAACTTCTTCTGCGGCTTTTGAGATAGAAATGCGCATCGCCCAACTTAATGATGCGGACGAATGGTTTGGCCGCCCATTGTTTTCGTTAGGCGAGTTGACCGATCCTGGCCTGTTGTGCGTCTTTCATATTTTTGACTGATCTGCATGAATGGGTCAGTTTTTCAACGCTCTAAATGCAGGCCGGTATAACGCAAGCCCGTTTTTGAGTCACGAGTGGCAAATGCTTTGCCTTTTCATCCGGTCTCTCGTTACCGCAGCTAACCTAGTATGCGTACGTGTTCAAAGCATGAGCCTGCGAACGGGTCAGTGATTAACATTCGATGTTCCAGCGGCATCGCAATACAAAACTGATGGTCATTGCCCCAGTGCAAACGAGCCCATGTAACGATCGCACACTGAAGGCTCGTTTCACCGAGCCATCGAGCCTGGAAACTTGCGGTCCGGGGCCAGACCACTTGTCAGCCCTGCGCATCGTAAAAGCGCTGTTAGGCTCCCACGCAATGCACAGTCAGTTATGAACGCAACGGATCCAGCTGGCGCGCAGTACATTCCTGGAGCGTTGTTAGGTCTGTTGTCGGAGCATTTGACGAGCAGAAGTGCAACTTGTCCACCGAGCATGGTGACGAGCATAGTGACTGGCAAAGCGATGTCCGGAGTGCGATGTCTTTCAGTCGCCATGGCCTTAGTAACCCGACTCGCGCCGTGTCTTTCACACAGCTGCAAACTCTGCCTCATTGCCAACAACACTTCTTTGATGTCCGAACAAAGGCACGACGTCCGTCCTTTAAAGCCGCAGTCGCGTGTGGGTTGGCGACACCCACCACGGGGCGTGCCGGTGCCGCGTCTGTGCACTGCACTCTGACGCAAGCAAGGCCCGCTCATGTGCCTGTGTCGACCCGCCCTGCTGGTGTGGGAAGCGCGGCACGCCAGCTCCAGACCCAGCACCGTCCGTCATGCACCGACGCGATCAGACGGCGTCCGTGCGGGGGCCGGGCCATGGGCGGACCGGCCGCTGGCCGTCCGCGCTGCTGACGCTGCCGGTCAGCCGGAGCGTCACCGCCGCCACTCGCCTCCCTCTCTCTCCCGACCGCGCTCTGGCGCTGCCGGTCAGCCGGACGGCCGCCAGCGCCGCTCACCTCCCTCCCTCTCCCAAGCGCGCGCACCGGCGCGACGGTCGCCGCGGCGCGCCGATCCGCCGCCGCCGCGGGCCGGCGCGTGACCCGGAGTCGTGCCGCCGCCTCCAGCGCTGGATCGACGCGCGCCGGCACTTGACCTGTATTCGTGCATACGGGGGCGGCGGCGACTGCGAAGCCGGCAGCCGGCCGCCGCTTGCCTGGGAGTGCCTCGGTCGCGGCGCGAGGGCCCGTCCGCCGCACAGGTGGCGCGCCGCCGCCCCGCCGGCCCGGTAGCCGCGCACCTGTGTGCGTGTATGTGTGTGTGTGTGTGTGTGTCGTGGCGCCGGATACGGGCCATACGGGGCGTCACTCGGCGTCGGGAGTGCGCACGTGTGTGAGTGTGGTGACGCCCGCGCTCGCCAGGCTGACGACGGCGACGGCGACGGGCGTGGCGTGCGGCCCACAACGCCAAAAGCGGCCTAATCGGGGCGCCTATCTAGCCCTGCCTCGATGCACGGGTCTTGTATGCACGGCACTGGGCGGCCCTGAACGCAATCCCGTGGGGCCGGATTCCTCGAAATTGCACTCCCATCCTGGCGCCCATGATGGACGGTGCGATTCGACAGCGGCGGGGACGTGGACGCCGACGCCGGACTCCTAGACCTCACGGATAAGCTGCCCCTCCCCTGGCTCAACGCATGGATTGGGTGTCCCCATCATGATCGCTGCATTCCGACGGCGGTAGCACTTAAGTCAAGACACGTGACCGCGTGGCTCGACCGCCTCCACCCCGGCCCTAACATCTGTTCGCCTTTTCCAGCCGGCGGCCCGGTCAAAAGGTCGCGACCCCGGTGACTCCGCACCTCCACCTCAGGAAGCCATGTAAGTCGACTTCCGCGCGCTGGCGGGCCGTTTGCGAGCTCTGGCGCCAGTGTGCCGCAGCTAGTGCCGCTCGTGTGCTGCAGGGGCGGTTGGGGGCCGCCCCGGCCGCCGCGGTGCCGCACTGCCCACGCGGCGTGGGCGGGCGCTCGCCGGCCGCGACACGGCCGTGTGGTATGATCACCAGTCGCGCCGGTCGTGCGGGGTGTGTTTGTTGTGCGGCGCGGTGGTAGTAAATCCCTCCCGAGCCCGGTCCGGCGCGAACGATGGGTTGAGTATTGCCACACACGAACGAGGATGGATTGTTAACAACTACGGCCTGCCATTGGGCTCGGCTTTCTGCCCTGGCTGCCGCACTGAAGTTACTGGATAAAAGTACGCTCGCTATCACTATGGCGGTGTTTTTGTTGGCATGGCACATGCGCGTTTTTTACCATGCATCGCTTGAAGCTCCCTCATAAAGGCAAGGCATTCTTATGGTGGTCATGCACACTTATTTTGACCAGAGACGCACGAGGGGTGGTCATCCAGGTCTGAGCTCCTCCCTTATCGGATGCGGACGAGAGTATCTTAGGGGTCGTGATGTTTTGCAAATTTCACGCTGTTTACTTGATTGTCGGATGGCATGGGATCGATTCTGCGGACCTTCACCGGTTCATGATTTCGAATCAAGCCGTGCTCGTTCCCAGATGAAGCTGCCGTCAGAGTTAAGGCACGGAGGCCCTGGGGTGCCGGGCGGTGCGCTGTTAACGCGATGCACGCGGCTCGCCGGAGCCGGATTTATGGCATTGTTTCGTATGTACATCCGCCAAATCTTGCTTGGCACGGTCTGTCTCCGAAGGGCTCTCGGCTTTCCCGGTTTCCAAATCAGCGGACGCAACCTTATCGTAGAAGCAAGTACGCACACTTAGAAAACAATGTCAGCATTTTGCGGTTGCGTTTCGGTGCGAGGCTATGAGTATCACCGACGCCTGTTCTGCCATGCCGTCACTCCTTCTGCGACCCCAGCATAGCCTGGTGACTCCGCTCAGCGCATCCCGAGACATGTCCGTGACACCCGCCTGACGCCACGCAGCCGAGCCTGTCCGCAACTGACCTGCTGTTTCTCGCTCCACGTATCGCTCTGCGCTACTCAGCGCTGAGAGCGACAAACACCTCCCATCCGATGCCATCAAAAACTGTACGGGGCAGAAACGCCATCACCATAAAAAACAAAGGTGTGCGCGTTTGTACAGGTAGAGGAGTGTTAACTCCGCTCCGTTCTGTGTCAGAGTAACTCCGTCCGTGTCGCAGGCCTTTAGCGGTCTTCGACGTTTCTGTGTTGTCAACATTAAATACCCAAACTTACCTCCGCACTTCCCACTTCCACTATGCAGTGCGAACGCGGTAGTTTTGACAGCGGCGGATGAGAGCGCACAAAAGGTGTGTGCGTGCGTGCGTGCGTACATGCGTGCGTGTGTGCATGCGTGCGTGCGTGCGTGGTACCTTAACGAGCATATACTTAAGCTCACTCTAATATCTTAGATTGTCCCCAAATACATGATAGGTCTAGGGTACATGGTCAGTGGCCACGATGCAATTTCCTTTTCAGTTGGAGGGGGAGGGCTTCAGCCCTTCCCCCAACCCCAACTTGGGTTCTAGCCGCCAGCTTTTGGAAGGAAGTGGGCAAAATGTCAGGAGAAGCCTGCTTGTTGCCGTATTTTTTAGATGCGTTGGGTCACTTTTACCGTTTAGTCACCCCCTCCCCCAGCTCATTTTTTGAAACTACGCCCCTGGCCAGTGGTCATGATGCGGTCAGGACCAACAGCGTGACGGACTGATCAAGAAGTGACCCTAGTAGTAAACGGCTCCGATATGATCTGGAGTGATTGCGCGACAGGACTTGGATAGGATGATACCACAATAGCGTAATCACGTAAGTGATTGAAAGCCACTACACGATCAGGGAGGCCGAGGAGGGGCTTCATCCCAGCACAGCAGACGGCTTGGTCACGTACAGATGAGCTAGGTTGTTTCACACCTCGGTACAACAGGAGGCCGCTGCTCCGACCAGGAGGAAATCCCATTGACCATCAAAGGGAATCTCTGTCGCGAACGAGAGGCGGTCCCAATAAGGCATGGCTTTTGTGTGAAGGAGGGCCAAGATACGTCAGCAGGCCCCTTCCGTGGCGGGAGAGGACACGGTGCGTGCCTTATACTGTAGAGATCCCGGATAGCTGGGACGCGCAGCACTGCGGAGACTTGGACGATTTTTGAGGTGGCAAGTTTGCAGCCACACGGTGAGCTTATTACGCACAGGGGGATCTCATTGATCGCGGGGTTCTGCAAATGGCTAGGTTCCTAAAGAGGCGCACCCATTATGTTTTCCACAAGCCTAGTCTGGTTGCATGCATAATAAAAACACGAAATGTGCACACTTCGGGTGATATGAACGTGTCGAGGGAAATGGGCCATCAGCGGGTATACAACGCAAGGGGAAGAAGACTACTAGAAATGAATCAATACCAGCCTGGAACATAAAGCTTCTCAGTGGAATGAAGTGAACAACGCCAACCCAGTGGGGCCCTCAGGAGCCTGCAAGAATCGTGTCCGGTGCGTCTTTATTCGTGAAGTTTTATGTGAACCCGTTTTATCGCAACATAATGTTATGAACACGATGTGTTTGCAGTAGATGTCGTAAAGAACATAATGCTAACAACATTGGGCTCGCCATACCGCTGGAACGCTGAAGCCAAAACAACAAATATCAGAATGTTTTGTGAGCAATCCACTTGACAGCCCTAAGAGCACGAAATGGCTCTAAAATAAAGGAGTACATGCTGTCGACCATTTTCTTTAATTAGGGCTGCCAGTAGCTTCCAAGCCATCAGTAACGCTGGGTGGACTATGTGTGACGTGCTCTGTCTCTCCATCGTACCCCACGACACAAGAACCTGGTCATGACGGATGCGGTCATAATTTAGCAAGGCAGAAGGCCCCTTTCGGGTTAAGAGGAGGCTCTTTCCATGACTTGGAGGAGGTCCCTGTCGCGATGGGGAGTAGGAGAGGACACGTCTCCTGATGGGAAGATGGGGATATGGGAAGATGGCTCCAGCCGAGCAAGCCCCTGTCCCGATGGGGAGGACGCTCGACCTGATGTGGAGATGGCTTCAGAAATATGGATCAATAATACGGATAACCAGGATGGGTTAATGCATCTGCAGGATCATTGGCGCTGTTTTGGGCTACTGAAATTGGCGGGTGCTTGGTCAATTTCATATTTATTCATAAAAAATGCCGGCTCAGCTTCATAGACGTAACCACGTTTTGAATATAACCAATGCCTTTTTTACTTGGTCTGATCTCACCTGTATGAGTGCATCCGTTGGCTTACATCACTCGCGCTCCAACTATGTCTGGATAAAGTCATGTCAAAGTTATGGATCAAATTTTACCTGCGTGTCAAATCAGCGTTGGGCCAAGAGCGCAATACATTGGCAGCTCAACATGTTCCCAATCCAGAGTCTTGTTCAGGTCCATATTTGCGCCTTAAAGTTTCTATGGACCTTTATCATAATGGGTCTTGCCGGTCTCAGCCTCATTGTCCTTGTGTTGTTCAGGTCAATGTTTTTTTTTCGCGCAAGTTTTGCGATGTTGGAAATGATATGACCTTAAACCCGTTGCAGGTCCGTTAATCGGGGATAGAAATAGAACTTACGGGAGGTACATGTCGGTCGTGGTTTCGTACTCATTACAACCCGAAATTTATGCTACATCTGTGTAGAGATTTTCAGGTCAATCGAAAGTTCGCTGAATATTTTTGAGTTTGCTGTTGTTGTTAACTGACGTTTTAGGGCGCGTCGTCCGCAATGACATCCTTCTGAATATAAATTTTACTTACTTGGTAACCGTCTCAGCGCATACTTAAACGGAGCGATCTACATTTGCATGGGGTTTTGAACTGAAATAGCCATCTTGAATATCATTAAGTGCAGCTCACAGTCCTGCCCTTATTAAGACCTAAAACCTCCTAGTTTCTGGACTACCCACCCACAAATATATGTTAACTATTTTGCTCACACTATTCTAAGGTTAAGGCATCCATGACGCCACATTAACGTCATCCAAATCCTATCATTTCATTAACCGTGAGCCGTTCGAGGTTAAGACAAATATATTTGTCTAGTCGCTCATACCCCACGTTCGTGAGCACGATTTTCACATACAACGGACCGTCAATCGGCTCTCTACTAATGTAGTATCAGCTACGCAAAATTCTGACAAGAAATACATGTTTTGCACTGCATAAGACAAGAAGTAACAAATTCTCCCTAGCTATGACGAAAAAGACTCGAAATCGAGCAACTTAGAAATGGCGCCATCATCGTACGTGTGAGTACAAGCCAATATCTTAAACTCACGGATGGATATGCAAAAACACCATGAAAAAGAGGCCGGAACACGAGCATATAGCGATATGCGGCTCAGCGAACACTTCCAGCCCGTGCTGCCATCCCTTGGGAGGTTGAAGAACTACAAGCAGGCGCTGCCCACAAACTTTCCATGACTCAATCAAGCAATGCCATATGGAGGAGCGCAAGTGCTCAATAGATATTTTTGTCCAAAGCAGTCTTTTTCATCATGTCTGATGCTTGCTTCCATATCTTCAGAACTGGAACATCCCTTAAACCGTGCACCATTTTTACACCCTTTAGCGCTTACGCTCGTCCCGCATAAACAGGACCCTGCACAGGTGTCGATTTGTGTTCCTTTGTGAGGGCTCTGGGACCCCAATGTCTAATTGCCCCCCTCCCCCGCAATGTTATTCTGGGCCCTTCAGTATTTTTTGCTACAATATTGCAAAACCGTGGAAAAACGTTAAGCCATTACGCAATACTATCTCTTTTGATCCTTCCTGGTATTACCGTCGCCATGGAGGGTGCGGCGGGTAACTTGATTCCACAACTTCAAAACTATTTCCCGAAATGTGGGATAACCTTTTACTTTAGGGTGTGAACCATTTT